ATTTTTTAAAAAAATATTCTTTTTAAATTTTGTTTAAAAACATTACATTTTAACCAAACCTTCACTATGTATATGTAAATACATCCAGGTTATGTGTATGATATGATTTTAATTTCGCTAGGCGTTTATGTCATAACTGTTAGCATTACATTCAGTAATATATATGGGAATTATGATTTACGAGTAACATTAGAGCAAAAAATAATAATAATAAGAATTCTGTATGGTGTGAAATTAGAGGAAGAGGTCAATGAGGGGGATGACACCATGAGTTACCGCACCAGGTGACACCAAACCTAGGAATGCCACCGAGTACAAATGATTTGCCTGTGCAAGGAGACATGTGTAAAATGGAGCAGGTTGAAAGGGCCTATTAAAATCAAAATAATGAGTTCATGCATGTAAAAAAAAAATTATGAGCAGTCCGCTGGATAAGACTTAAGTCCACCTAGTCTAGTTCAGTATCCACAGCAGCCAAACAAATAAATGCCTTTGGGAAGCCACAAATAGGATGTGAAACCAATACTTTGCTGCATCCCAGCAAATGGCATTCATTTGGAGTGTCTCTGAATATGGAGGTACCTTAGAGCCAGGCTTCAAGATTAATATTATTTATTTATTTATTTATTCATTTATTTATTTACTTTATTTATATGCCGCCTTTCTGCCACAACTGAACCCAAGGCGGCTTCCATAACAATTTTTTTTTAAAAAAAAGTTTACAAAAAGTTTAAATATAAAATATACATTTTATATTTAAACACATATAAAAACACCATATCAAACCACTAAAATACTGATTAATGATCATAGCCTTTGTTTGGCAAATCCATCTTCCAGGAATATGTCTAATCCCCTTTCAGGGGCACTCATGTAATGCCTCAAAATACTATGATACAAAAGGTACTGATGTTGGGGTGGGTTATGCAACCTTGCTGACCTGATATGAAGTCAACAGACTTGCAGAATTTAACTGTTTGCTTTTTGAAAATGTATTATGTGTAATTTAAAGCAGTCCATTGGTATCATGAGACTCTCTATATTTAATAACTTATTTAAAGAAGAGAACGAGGAAGGAGGAGACAGCGGCCAGTATTCTTTGTGATAAATACTGCGCTCGTGTATATCAGTGTAGACAATACTTTTTGCTAAAGTTACTTTGGTTTTCTATCTCAGTTGCAATCCTACATACCCTTAAGCTGAAGTAAATGTTATTGAACTCAATGGGATTTACCTCTGAGGAGACATGCATAGGATTGCACTGAGTAATATTTCTGATCTAGGAAATCACTCAGGAGTGTATGACTTGCTTAAACTGGAATTTGACTCATGATTCCCCATGAACTGTGATAAATTCAGTTTTTTTCTCAAACGATATGTAAGAATAAAAGTGAATTGCCATAACAAAATTAGTATGAGCAAACTACTACACAGCTATTATAAGAGATGTTCTCTTTTTTCCTTTTACATAATAATAATATATTTGTGAACACAATTAATGAAGACCTGTTGTATTACAACTGACTTACTGCTTACTATATGTGTGCATGAAATAATCCACAGTCAAAAGTGTTCCACATCCAGGTATTTTGGGTTTTATGCTGAACATTTTAATATCTTTAATGGGCACTGCCCCATTTTCACTGAAATAAATGCCAGTTTCATGAGGGTATATGGGGAAAGGCTTTAAGATCAGACTCCAGTTTTTTAAAATTTTCTTATTAAAATAATGTCTACACAGCTTATAGAGTATTAACCAAAGTGAGAGCTGAAAGTAGAATAGTAGGAGAGGGGGGGTTAGTTAATGAATAATGACTCCTCTTTGTATAAACATTATTGTATAGACATTTGAAGACATGTGTGAAGTCCCTATTATGGATTAAAAATAAACTCAATTTTTATCTTTCAACCAACTTAGAAAGGAATTAACTCATGAACCAACCAACTTTTCTTGGGACAACCATTTATTCTGTTGGGGAAAAAATGTTCATTTAACTTGTTTTCATCATTTAAAAAAAAAATAATGAGAAGAGTGCTTAGTCCTTGTAGCCTAACCCTGTAGCTTTTTCTTAGGCCCCAAGACTGAAAGATTTCCATGCCTTGCTTTAAAGTAGGTATATAAGGGTGTTTTCACAAGTGACTTTAAGGATTTGAGTGTGCCATAGCTATATCAAATTATTCATAGTATATGAAATGAAAGAGTGACATTGATCAACTCGGATGTTCAATTTTAAAACAGGCTCTCTTTGGCCCACTAACTAGTGCAGCATCCTTAAGCATGGGTTGTAGACACAACCCTGCACAGATTAAGCTTTCCTTAAACTTGATGGACTTCCATGGAGCTTTCATGCATACAACTCCTTTGTCCCATGCTGGATCTACAGCCTAAATCAGGGGTAGGCAACCTTTCCCCTTTAAGGGCCAAGGGACTTCAGCTCCCAGAAGCCTCAGCCATGTTGGCCAATAGTCCCATGTTGTCCAATAGCTCCTGGGATTCTGGGAGCTGAAGTCCCTCGGCCCTTAAAGGGGAAAGGTTGCCTACCCCTGGCCTAAATTGTCTTTTTGGGCAGCAAAGCTATGCACACCAAGCTGGGGGTAATTTCCACTGAATACAGAGGAACCTACTCAGGCATAGGATCAGGCTGCAAGTATCGCTTTTTAAAACACCTCGGGAATGGAGCTACATGCAGTGGTGACCGATTCGAAACGGTCTTCAAATTACATAGCGCTACCCAGTTCCTCCCACTGCACTGTCCAGCATCTGTCCACTTGAAATTACCTCTTTCCCATCATTAACATATAACAACAGCCTTTCCTAACCTGGTGCCTTTGAAATGTGTTAAACCTCTCTATGACCCTCACCTCCTGACTGGGATGCCGGGAATAGTAGTCCAAGACATCTGGAAAGTAAAAGGTTAGGGAAGACTAATAAATAGATCTGCCTCATTTCAAGGTTGGAATCTCAGGAAGTACTAACAGGATCAATCTATTTCGGTCAGAAGTATTCATCTTCTGCAGTTGTACAGGTGAATAGTTAGGAAGTGTGGAAGACTGTGATGTACTAGATTAAAAGATTTTAATTTTAAAGTATAAGTCTAAATAATAATTAAAATAAAGGACCTGACATTTTGTAAAAGTTACAAGACAAACTATATGCAATCTATGTTTCTGCAGCAATCCAAGTATTTTACAAATGCTTTGTTTTAGTGACGTGTTTGTCAAGGGTGTTTAAATTTGTAGCAAAGTAATACAGCTATTTTACTAAATTAATACAACTTAGATTTGTTTTAGTCTTTCATAAAAAAGTTTTCTACTAAAAGAAATGAAGCACAGATTATTTGATTCAAAGGAATCTTTCTTCAATTATATGCAAAGATTTCATATAAATGTGTTCACTTCTTAAAACTTATATTTTAGACTGCAATCCTATGCCTCTACTTAAAAATAACTCTCATTGAGTTCAGTTGTTCTTAGTCCTAGGTAATTGTGCACAGGACTGCAGCCTAAGTATTTAAATAAATCTATACAAGTATTTAATACAATTACAGTACTTCATTTTAAGTTTTATTTTTTTACATTTATGAATTCTCCAAACATTGTCTTTGAGATAAAAATGCAACAGGAGAAACCAAACAAATTAGACCCAACCAATAATGTATGTAGCTCCAAAAGTAATTTGATTTGTAAAGTATGAGTTCTGCCAGGGCTTTCTACATCAGTGTTAGCAATGAAGTCTAATATGATCAATGGGACTACTGCATTGTTGGAGACCCATACATTTCTCCCAAAAGATAAGGCATGGATTGGCAAGACACTATAATAACATGCCACCAGTAACCTAGCTGAAGGGGATTTTTGATTTCAAATAGGAGGGTGAAAGAATTACTATGACTGGGTTGAGAGTAGCTCCTTCCAGGTGACCCTACTAAATTTAGTCAGCAGACAATCCTTCCTCCGTAGTAGTGGGTACCTAAACTTTGGTCCTCCAAGTGTTTTGGACTTCAACTCCCAGAAGCCACAGCCAACTTGGCCAATAGTCAGGATTTCTGCGAGCAAAAGTCCAAAACACCTGGAGGATCAAAATTTGGGAATCACGGCTCCATAGTATAGAGAGAAATAACTCTGCACCAGCTTTGATCAGAAGCCTGTGAGAGAAGGGGGACCTTTCATCCTCAGGCAAATACTCACCAAGTTAATAGGAATACCCAAGAGATGGATTTTGATCCAGTATGTTTAACATCCTTTAAAGGCACAAATTGTTAATTTAAAATGTTTTCTAACATATTTTGCCATACCATACCAGATTGAGGTGATACAGTCTAAACCAGTAACTAAATGTTGTTTTTAAGACACATTACTTTCATTTCTCTCATGTGCTTTGTAGATGCGCTGGTGGATTTTTAATATATGTACTCTGCTTAGCTGTGCACTGTTTTTACCATTTGAAATCCTGAAGTTTACATTCAAATGTTGTCCTTCCACACACAGTGTTTTTT